CCGCAATCCCTTCTCCTCCATTCTCCTCTCAGGACCTTGGACACACATGCACATGTGCCCGGCATGAGTTTAAGGCACTAGGTCCGGGACTCGAACCACAGTCGACTACATGGGATTCTAGCAACATAGCCATTACACCAACTGCTGGTCCCAAGATAAGTGCTTTATCAGCACTTATCAGGTCTGTGTGACCTGACCTTTATATGAACAAGCAGAACAGAGCCAGATGTAACAAAAGCCTTTTATTAATTCCTATGTGTTGTGGATGTTGTTGTATTGAACAATACATATTAAAAATCAGAATCGCGTACTGTCTCCCAAATTGAGTTTCAGTAAAATTAAAGGTTAGATATTTTTTAATTAAGGAAGCAATCAAAAAAAGAAAAATGAATTAAAAATTTATCAAACTTGGAGAGTGACTGAAAGTTAAAGTTCATACTCTTAAAGCACCTAATTTTTAAAAATAGGTGTACAGACCCTAGTTTATTTATTTACTTTGAAGAGGTTTTTGCTATAGGGTGTGTGTTCTAACCAGAAAGAGAGACAGAAAGTGAAAAATCATCCCCCAGGGGGTATGGCCACGCCACAATCCCTTCTCCATTCTCCTCTTGGGATCTTGGGCATGCATGCACACACGCCAGGCATGAGTTTAAGCTGCCGGGTCCGGGAGTCAAATTGCGGTCTACTACATGGGAGTCCAGAGACACAGCCATTAGGCCAACTGCTGGTCCCTATCATGGTGTTCTTTATAAAAGTAAACACTGCTGGCCCAGGCTGGTGGCACAGTGAGCAACACATTGAACTGCAGGGCTTGGAGCCACATGGTTGACCACAGGTTTGCATCCCTCAGTCAGCCTGAAAACACGCTGGTGCATTCCCAGGTGCCCAAGATCTCAATGATCCTAGACTGGGGTGTGGGGGGGGGAGGGGGGGAACAAGTTGGCAAGGAAAGGGGATCACAGCATAAATGAGACCCTGTTGAAGGCCTTTCCCACTCTCCCTCTCTCACCCCTGCCGTGTACACACACACACTATCATGAAAAATGCTAAACAACCTAAGTGTTCATTAACCAAGGAAGAATTAAATAAATCCTATAACAATCATGAGATGTGAAAGTGATGTTTTGTTGACTGTATTTGGAAAAGGACAATATAGCCATGTGATTTCCGTATATTTAACTATGTATCGGAACGTTCTGGAGAAAACTCACTGAAGTACGCAGCAGTAGTTGTCTTTGCTCTGCAGGGGGGACAGGAACTACGTAAGGTGGTTAAGAGTGTGGGATCTGAGTCCAAACTGCCTGGATTTAAATCCTTGCTCTGCCACTTGAGGATTTTGACTTTGGTCAGGTTTTAAGTTCCGTGTGATTAGGTTTCTTCATCAGTAAGTTGGTGGTTATAAGTACCTACTTTCCAGGGTTGTCCTGAGGGTTAAATTTGCTAGCAGAGGTAAAGCACTGACAGCTATGCCTGGCGTATAGTAAGAGCTCAGTAACACTTAGTTGTTTGGTATTTAAGTAAGTAGAACCAATACGGGCAGGCTTTTACTCCCATTTTTCTGCGTTTTTCAAAACTACTTTTTTCACTTGAACATATACTGTTATATTAAAAAAAGAAAGAAAGAAAGAAATATTGAGTTATCAGAAAAGTCATGACATATTTTTTCTGTTTTTCTATGCAAAAATGCATCATGCCTTTTCTGACAACCCTATAGTTTTCCTGTCCTGAGAACTCGATCATGTGGATTTTCTAGTCATGTAGATTCTGACTATTAGAATATTACAGTATATTGGGGCTGGCAGGTGGCATGGTGGTTAAGGATGCTGGACTCCCACATGGCCAACCATAGTTCAAGACCCAGACCTGGTGGCTCGCTTTTTCACTTTCCCTCTATCTCTCTCATTCTGTCCCTCTCCAGTCAAATGAAAATAAATAAATAAATAAATAAAGTTAAATAAAATAATTCTTTTTAGAAAAGAGAATATCACAGTACATTATCAAAGTATGACTACTTCGCTGAGACCCTAGAATTGAAATTGGAGTTGTATTGATGATAGAAATAAATTTTGTGTCCCATTTCATTAGGGAAAAAGTATATTTCATAAGAAGTTAGGACAATTCATGCTGGGAAAATTCATTTTGCATGCTGTAATGATATACAGTGATTGAACAAATATGTACATACATATATACATGTATATATATGTATATATATATATATATTTTTTTTTTTTTAAGAAGTTAGGGACAGTTCAGTTTCCATAAAGGATTTCTTATGTCCTTTGGAAATTTTGGGTCTACCTGATAGTCTTCCATCTTACCCTACCTCCCACCCCTGTCCCCAACCTTTAGCTTCTAGTTGACTCAGAATTGGGCATTTTCTTTTCTTTTCTTTTCCTTTTCTTTTTTTGGGGGAGGAGGTTTTTGCTATAGGGCACATGTCAAGAAAGACAGAGACAGAGAGACAGAAAGCGAGAAATCACCCCCCCAGGGGGGATGGTCACGCCACAATCCCTTCTCCTCCATTCTCCTCTCGGGATCTTGGGCACGCACACACACACGCCTGGTGCGAGTTTAAGCCACTAGGTCCGGGACTCGAACCACAGTCGACTACATGGGAGTCCAGCGACATAGCCATTACGCCAACTGCTGGTCCCTATTTTCTTTTTATATAATTGACATGGACATAAAAAAAATACATCACATATCTTAGTAATAATAACATGACAACATTTTTGAAATATTTATTAAAAATATTGGAATAAGTACATTTTATTGGGCAAGGAAATCATATTAGAGAAAGAGGAGAGGGAATAGTTTATTCAATACTTCAATAACTTATGAACATTTCAATGAGTGTCATATATAATTTAATTTACATATAAAGTTATTTTAAAGTTCCAGGACCAGAACAAAAATTAGGGATAGAATTGCTTTCTCTTTCCTACATTTTCCCCCAAGTGTTCAGGCAAAAATTTTGGGGAAAAGTCTCTGCTTATTTTGGAGTCTTCTCTTGCCAGAAACTAACGGATCTGTACAATACAGTTGCCAAGGCAATGTCAAGACCATGTAGACAAAGGGAGAAAATGTGATGTGCAGACAAGGAGATGATGAAAATGGATTAACAATGTGAACGCAGGAGTTTTTTAAATGAGAAAAAGTAAAATCATGCCACCTTTTATAAGTAGTTATGCTAGCAGATCTAACATCTGTTGTTACAAAGGAACTTCATTATAATAAGGCCTTTTCCCCCCGTATTACCTTGTTCATGAATGCATAATTTATTTCCTAATTATGTCCCAGTCTTCATAACTCTGTACTGAGCCATGTCAAAAGGGTTCCAGTGCATTCAGATTAGACAAAGAAATGTTTTATTTGCTCACACCAGAAACACTTTTTCTATAAGTTCTATTCAAAGCCCTGGATTCTGCCAAGCCCTTCCAGATAATGACTGTGAAGATAGATTCATCCCTTGCTCCCAAAGCAGCACAAATATTTGCTGCTTGAATAAATTTACTCTTGTCAAACATGGGTGACCACCAGCCAAATACTTGTTCATTTTTCTAGAATTGTTGCTGCAGTTGCAAAAAAAGACTCAATTTCTTCTTTTCTTTTCTTCTTTCCCTCCCTTCCCCCTTCAGGTACAATCCTTGGATTTACCCTCCGCCCATACAAAATGAGCTACCGGGAAGTCAAGTACTTCTCCTTTCCAGGGGAACTTCTGATGAGGATGTTACAGATGCTGGTCTTACCACTTATCATCTCCAGTCTCGTCACAGGTAGCGTATGCAGTTGGTTTTGTGTTTTTTTTTTTTTTTCTTTTTAAGCGTGCTTATTGCAAAAGATCGCTTAGAAAAGCAAGCGCTTTAGGTCTCTGCTGGATGCATGCTCTGTTCTAGAAAAAAAAAAAAGTCCTTTCAAAATGATGGAAAGGAGGCTTTAGTAATGCATGAATGATTATAACTCTCATATTTTACCAATCACAAGAGGAAATGGATTTAAACAGTCACGTAATCTGGCCCACCTCACCATGAAAGAGGTGCCCTGCTAAACACCACACAACCAGCCTTCTCTGCCCACAGTGATGTAGTTGACAACAGCGTACAACAGGTCTGTTTTCTCACCCTCTTATCCCACCCAGATAACATCTGGTTGGACAGCCTATTAGCTATTGATGCAAGAATGCTTGTTCTCAGAGCCACCAGGACTTGAGCGGGAGCCTTCTTGGAAGCCTCATCAAGAGGTAATGCCCACCACACACTCACAATTCTGCTGCCACCAACACTGTATCTTTTCCTGGAGTACCCGCATGATTTCATTTCCTCCTCCAGTTGCCCCTTACTCCCATTACCTTTTATGCTGGTGGGAGAATGGGGAGGGGGTGGGAGATTTCCCCATCTGGATATTTTGTCAGTTGATGCTTGGATTTTTAACAAGTGGAAGCATTGTAGGACAGGCTTCTATTTTCTATGACAGTGAGCTAATAATTTACTCCTGCATGGGAAAAGGTTAAAGAGTCATTTGTATATGCGATTGGTGAATAAAGGCAGAGCCAAGAAATTGCAAAGAAATGTTACTGTACATTCCTTCCTGCCCACTCTTCTCTTTCCCCACAGCACATCTCTGACTTGGAGAAGGAATTTCCATAGACACTGCCCCAGCAGGATGGTTTCTGGGTTTGTAGCTCAAGCCCAGAACTCAGGTATTACTGACCCTGTTCTCTTTTCCACCCTTGGCTCATCATCTCTTTGTAGACAGACCACTCCACCTCTGTGTGAACTGGCTCTGTTTCTTTCCCCCTACCAGGGAGCTCTCAAGGATGTTTGTATTCTCCTCTTAAGTTCTCTGTGTAATGAGAACTTCACAGAACAACTCAAAAGTCATGGGCAACATTCTATTACATGCGTTGGAGGGCTGATCATTACTTGGACAGGATTATGTCAGAGTCTTCCTCAGTGCTTTGCAGATTTCTGCCCAGCTTCCACTTGCCCACATCCTTAAACAAGTGATGTACATGAGCTTCCACTGGAGGATGAATTGCTCATAAAATGATCATGTAGACAAGTTGATTTGAGGTGGTTGTTTGTGAAACTGAGCTGGCTCACTGCTGACAAGGGGTAAACACAACCACCACAGTTCTTATCACAGCAGCTGTATGAAATGATGACATGAGGAAACATTCTTATTTTATTATCTATGTGCTACCACTTTTCTGGAAAGCAAATTCTTTGCAGAAAACACTTGCAGGATAGCACCTACATTCGCCATTTCATTTGCTAGAACTGTGAGTCCCTCTTTGCCATTCCTACTGGCAGGATGTCTGATTGGGTACCATCAGTTTTCCTAGACACTCACTGAGAGGTCCTAGACTCTGGAATACTGTCTTTTCAAGAGTGGAGCCAAAGCTTAGAAGTTTCTGCTTCCCTGGAATTGTGGAAACCACACTGTATCGCCTTTGGGAGAGGAAAGCCCTTATGCGATACAATTACAGAAAGTCTTACTTGTAATTAATAGCAGTCCCATTTAATAGTTCCCTTAAAGAGAAACTTCCTGATATTTTTAATACTTGACAATCAACTATACTAATGGAATAAAATCTTTAGTTAAGT